TAGGCGATCAAAAAGAGAAGACTTTTTGTCAAGACAGGAATATAAAGTTGATTCATCAGCAAAAAGAGCTACTTTAGATGAAAGGTTGTCAGGAAGATCGTTTATGTAGATAAGAAACAAAACAGGGCCCAGGATGGAACCTTGTGGAACCCCAGAAGTTACTGGAACTAAAGAAGAGTGTTGGCCTTCAATGATGACTTTAATAAACCGGTTAGAAAGAAATGGTTTGATAATCTCAAAAACTTTCCCAGAAACACCATATAAAGCAAGCTTATGGAGAAGACCAGCATGCCAAACTTTGTCGAAAGTTTTAGATATGTCGAGAGCAATAGCCCTAGCCTCACGGCCTCCATCTAATGCACGATAAAATCTTTCAGTTACAGCAGTTAGCAAGTCGGCCGTAGAGCGAGAGGATCGAAAACTGTATTGATTGTCTGACAGTAGTTTATTTGACTCAAGATGAGATGTGAGGAATTTGTTGATCAAAGACTCAAAGACCTTGCTAATAACAGAAAGAAGACTGATCGGACAATAATTGGAGGGGTCAGAATTTTCTCCAGAGTTTTTGAATATTGGAACCACAGATGCCATTTTCTTACAAACAGGAAAACAAGTCTCAGTCAAACACTTGTTAAATAGTTTAGAGAGAATTGAAGAAAGTTCTGGAGAACAATTCTGCAAGACTGTGACAGGAATGTTGTCTGGACCACAAGCTGTAGACGAGTTTAATTGAGATATGACTTTAGCAACAGAAGCCGGAGTGATTTGAATGTCTAACAATGGGTCAACCTGTTTGACTGGAATGGAAGGAAGAAAATGTCCATAAGATTCAAGAGTGGAATTAGAAGAAAAGTTCTTTGCAAATAGTTCTGCCTTATCCTTGAGAGAGGTAATCATATCAGTCCCATGAATGAGAGATGGAATGTTAGATTGTTAATAATGCTGTTGAAGATTTTCCAAAAGTCTTTAGAGCCTAACTTCTGTGATAAGATGGCGCTTGATTGCTTTCCACTGGCTTGACAGCTGAAACAATCCTGTTGAACTGCTTCTTTGTTCAATGGATAGAGCCCACTACTTCTGAATGCACTTAATGAATTTTTCTCTGTTAATTGGTCATAGAGTTACTTTACTAGGCAAAGAAAACTTCCTTGCTTACTTTCTGGAGACAACTCTCTCTAAACCATCTCTTCAGAATGTCCTTCCATGCAAGCTTTAATGGTCTAAAGACCCCAACCTCCATAGGCTGAAGAGCATGACTTGTGTTAGGTTGGAAGCATAGTATTATGATATTGTTTATCATTGCGGACTTCACTGTTCCATAAATTAGATGACTACCATAGCCATCATAAATGAGCTGCACAGGTTTCTCAATATGTTTAACGCTTTAATGAAATGTTTAAACCATGACTCAAAAACTGCGTCTTCCATCCATCCTGACTTTGTTGTTGCATAATAAGTACCTGGAGGTCCACCTTGCATCCATGACTTATACAGATGTAGCACTATAAACAATATAAATGGAGGCAGATACCATCCTGAGGCAAGTATACAGAAGAGAACACTGTAACTTGCTTTTCCTCCACATGCTGATTTCAGATAAGCAGTGCGTGATGAAACTGGCACAAACACTTTAAAAGCAATAGGGTTTTGTCCCTAAACCAGCTTCATCGAGATTAAAAATTCTGTGCGGTTTGTCAAGAAGATCATTTTTAACTAATACATTTTCATACATTTGAAAAAAGGCATTGACAACACTTTCTATCAGCCTTTCTGCACTTGCTTTGGTTAAAAGTTCAGGCTTTCCCTTTGAAAGTTTCCCTTTCCATCTCTTTTCAAACCCAGTAATCCAGTCTTCATCATGGCAGTTGTCTTTGAAAGGATTAGATACTCCTGTTTCTTGAATGAAACACTTAACCATTGATATCAATTCAAAACGATCCCATGGAAATCCGCTATTAGCAAAGTAGCATAATGTGCGAACAATTAAGCGTTCCTCGTCAGTGGTAAGAATGGGGAGTCATCCAGAACCAACTCGCTTTGGAGTTTGAACTACCCATTTTCTAAAAGTTTCATATGGAGTTTTCTTTTCTTTTGAAACTTTGTAAACTAAACTTCTTTGTTCAATGATAAGTCTTGCATTTTTTGAGTCCTTCTTTGTATAGTTGGGTTGTGTTGAAGGCCTGCAACAAAACAGAACAAATGTTTTAATGTATATTCATTTCTGCATTTAATTCATACTACATAATAATAATTGCTGCTAGATATCACTGTGACTGTGGCATTAGCTTATCTTAGTAATTGTTATACCCATTTTCCCCCATTCTGGTTTTTCAACTAATATTTAAAATTGTTAGGTTTTTCATATTCCTGTTACTATTAACTAAAAAGAGGAATTTCTCCTGCTTAAATCTGTAATTTGTGACTGAGTATCTATCTATCTATATATATATATATATATATATATATATATATATATATATATATATATATATATATATATACACATATTACTACAGACATGAA